TTGTAATTTATGGAGCTAGAAGTTAACACATTTGTTTAATTAGTGTTAAATAAAATAATAAGCTATATAGCAAGTAAATAAACATTAAATAAACTTAAGGCTAAACATTTCATGATACATTAGTTTAACATTTTACTTCGAGCCTTTTGTTTATGCACTAATACCTTTTAAATAGCTTACATACATAATTAAATATATCAATTTTTATTTGAACAGTTTTATGCGTACACACATTCAGTTTAATTAAATTGCTCCATCAAATTTCTCGGAATAAAATTTTCAAATTTACTTTTAATAACATTACAACATTGCCTACTTTTTATACATTGTATTTATATTCTTGTTTATGCTATTTTTTAATTCTAGTAATTTATACTAGTCTAGAAATTGTTTTTGTTTTTGTTATTATTTATTCTATCGATTTGTGTTAAAACCATAAAGCACATTTCACACATTTTGTGTAGATTTGAGAATAGTATTGTATACGAATGTGAACGTGTCAATTTGTGCTTAGAGATATTCATAAAATATGATCCAGTATATGCCGTTGAGACTGGCGAATAGCGCAGGAAAGAGCACTCTCGATGTACGGTCTATGTAAATTGCCCTTTTTAGACGTTCTTGCTGTGGCGTAAGCTTTGGCTTGGGTGGCTCGGGTTCTGGCTTCGGCGGCGGTGGTGGCGGTGCAATGGTTGGTGTTAGTATGATGCGCGACTCTTGTCGTGGTATCCAAGGGCCATCGGCATCGAGTGGTGGGCGTACGATACGGCGTGTATGCACAACCTAGCGGGAATGGAATCAATTTTAAGATGCGAACTATTTAAATTGCAATAAAGTAGTTTTAAATTTACTAAAATATTGAAAGCAGAGTAGTTGTGAAACTTTGAAGAGGAGCTAAAGTTTCTCAATTTCGAATTTGTTAAAAAAAACATTGGTGTAGTAGTTGGCTTTAAACTCCATGGTGAGTAATTCATCGACTTTTGTGCCAAGCAGAATTCCGAAAGAAAATGACTTAGGATCTATCTTTATATTCTTTATGCTGATCTCATATGCAATATATCTCTCTGGATAAAGGGCGACACGCTTTCAATATCGACCATACGTGGCGAAGAGTCACACCCAGCAAGAGGAGCCCTTGCTTTTACTGAATATGGTCGATCTAGAGCGGTGGTGTGCACCGACCTGGCTGAGGGCAAAGCTTTAAAGAGCTGATGCCCGCCGCCGATCAAGAGCGAAAAGTTCGATAAAATCCGTAATTCCAGGTGTTTATTTCACTGCGGCTACGGACGGAATGGCACTACTTTAGTGTGTCTTCTAGTCGTGTACTCCGATCACGTGGCGCCGTCAGGTTTTCGTAAGCCATTTCGGAGTACCGTGCCTCTGCCTCCGATGTTCTATTTCTTCCTAGATTCATATGGCCGAAACCGAAAGAAAATGTAAACAACTGTACTCTACAAACTGTTATAGTAGTCGTTGCTTTATGAGCTCGTCGAACAAATGGCAACCAGAGCGGACAAATTTGTTGTAAGTCGAAATGCGCAAAGTCACAACATCAACTCAGGCAGTCACTGCATAGTACGAAATGGACTTCAGTCCAAACGGCTTGGGCAGTGGCAAAAAGCGAGCTTAAGCTTCGACTCGGTTTAAAGTACGAATTATTGAGCTTAAAGTCACATTATCAGCGCAAGAATTAAGTCCGAGATTCAGCTATATTTTTGTACATAAGAAACAGTATGGACGTTGAAATGGTCAACCTGAACACAGGGGCAAATGAACAAGACGCCCAAATCACCACAGACTTTAAGGAACCCTTGATTTCGTTTTGCTAAAAAGCTATTTGCATCGGGAAAGAAATGCTAAAAGTCTCACCAGTCTAGAAGAGTTAGCGACCTCGAGGCTGAAAAGTTAGCTCTGCGACCCATGACCAAGTGGTACTTGCTGCTGAGGAGAGGATGCGTACAGAGAAAATCAATTCCTCGCAAGCCCACAATTACCTCAAAGATAAATCAGGACTATTCTACAAAAGATCTGTCACGGGACCAGTGAGTTTGGCGGCCATTGAAAATGTGTCGAGGGTGACATTGTTACCGACCAGCTACCCCAAAATGCCCTCGTCTCTTGATCAACTGCAGGATTCAGGCGGCGCTCTGGTAGACGATTAGACAGCTCCAATCAAATTTAGCGGCTATACTCTCTTTACGGGGTTGGATAGACATTGGCTGCGGAGACTGTAGAGTGGCTTCGTTGGTGGCCCACATCTAACAACCATAAAATGGAATGTCAGCGGAGCTGGATGCAACCGCTGTTTCAAACCATGGATATACATGGGCTAGTTTCCGTAGACATCCAATATTCCCGTTGACAGTACTCTTGCTCTAGATGAGGCTAAAAGGGTAGATTTTCTGGTAGCCAATTGGAAGTTTTACAACAGGAGTCATAGAATCCACCACTGAACTCACTATGGCCATCGTGCGTTTTTCTGCTAAAATTTTGAACAGGCTACGGTTCTTGATCAACTATGACTTTAGTAGGCGGGCTCTCGAACTTGCATCAGGTGCGGCTGTCGAAGATAAATGCTGTTGCTCAAAGGAATCATCTCACTCACCAATCCATTCGCGGACCTCCACTGATGGCACAAGGGATGCAAGGACGGGGGAGTTATCAAGAGTGATCAAGCGTGGCCAAAAACACAAAAAAGTAAACATCCCAGGCACATCAGGTGCCTACAAGTGAACCTGCATAGCGCCAAAGTAGCCTCGGACGTTTTGTGCGGGTGGTTAAATAACGAGCTCTTGAATGTCGCATTCACCCAGGGGGCCTTGATTTTCAATGAACCTATTAAATTCCTCCCAAATTATTGTGATGGCAAGTGTGACACATAGTGGCCATACTCGTGTGGACTAAGGTACCAACCCCTAAAAGAGACTACATCAGGTTGTAATTAGCTCCGCGGTGTGACAGCTGCGAAATGCCCCCAAGGGAAGTCATTGCTCCTAAATAGTACCGATTTGAAATCCTTAATTTTTAGTATTTCGTCCGGCTAGATTCTCCAGTCTGGCGCTGAAAAAGTCACATGAAGCAATAACCAAAATTTTGTAGATCAAACCTCAAAAATCCATGCTTTTCGTACAGCCAATTGTATGGGGCATATTCTCGAGTGGGACACAAGGTGGAAAAAAATTGTGTACAATATACATATACAAAAAATATGCCTTTCTCCGCGCAGCAACGGGAACACTGGTGTATGCTACATATGTATGTGTGTATGTATGTACGTATATCGACTCACCCTTTTATTTTTGGTCATCTCATCGAATATCTTCTCAA